TTTCTGTTCGTCGTGTTTGTTGATCATTCGAGCATATTCTTGTTTTACTAAGCTCTTGAGTGTGGCGCGCACTGAGCATAGACCATTCAAAAGCAGTCGTTCTGCTACATCCATCCGGTCAATGTAGGATAGAAATCGGAAGGCAGCCCGAACATCGCCTTTTTGAACATCTTGAAGAAAAGCAAGATGCTGTGTCTGTTTGGCTAAAAGCGTTTCCTGNGAGATCCCAAGTGTATGTAACAGAACAACAATCTCATCATTCAGACTACCAAAGGCGTAAGGCTGTGCAATGTTAGCCTACCATTCACGAAATACATTTGAATACGGTACTTTGGAATAATCCACCACAGCGAGACTGTAGTCTGGCGAATCTTTGAATTTCCGCATTGACGCTCGGAACTGAACCTGTATCTGCCCATGCAACGTCGGATCCAGTGTTAAAACACCCTTATAACCACGATACCGGATCTGGTAAACCGAAGGTATATACCTTCTATTCCGAAAAACGATGCTCCGCTTTTGTGCCAGGTGATTTGCCAGCTGAGTAGAGATGAGGCCGCAACCATCGGTAAAGATGTACTGCTTGGTTGCGACATCATCAATGTCTTGGCAACGATCGGGTGGCAGATCAAGTGCTACGTCCGCGCTAGAGAAAAGGAGTCCAATGCGCTTCGCTTTCTTGCCAACAGACTTCAGTTTTGAAAAATCTCCCATTGCTTCGACTTTGACAAATATCTCCTCTTTCGACGCTGCGTACAAAAAACAAGATCTTGATTTGAGCTGGCTATTAGAATGCCCGAAGAAATTGTAGGTAACGCCATTGATGGTGAGGCCTGAAACAAGCATTCTGGTGATCCAGTCCCCATTCTCCCGACCTGTGGCCGGCCTCGAAGTCTCGCCTGCGATAAGAGCAGGCCATTGTAGCTTGAAATCTCCCAAAGAGAGGAGAATAAACCTATCGAGAACGTCGTTCCTGATGACTCGGTTCGAGGGTGCAGCTGCGAAACGGAGGACGATCTGTTGCCGGTGGTTCGACGAGACAATCGATACACATTTGATGAGCCCCGCCTGATTGGTTAAATGAGATTTAGGAATGTCCGGTACCGAATACTCCCATTTAACGTCTTCTGGAGACACACCGTCCTGCAGGGTTTTGACGAACGATTTGAATTCACTCATCTTTGTGAATTTTTCAAGATTGCCTGATAGGAAAGAGGGTAATGGAGGGAATATGCGGATCGCGGCGGATACGATTTTTGAGTTTTGCAACCCGTGTCAGACGGCGAAAAGGCCGATGTACCCCACTAAATCGTCACGAGCTATTGTAAACCTTGCTTCACGGCTTCATTACCCCTCTTTTGAAGTTTTTTCCTCAGCTTCTTTTGCTTGTAGTTTCACAGGCTCGGAGGATAGTGAAACCCTTAAATCAGGTACCCAGACATCACTAAAATATTGGGGAGAAATAACGCTCAGTCAGATATCTAGAATGGTTTCTGTTCTTGAGCATAAAATACAGTTTTAGTGAATCGTTAATAGAGGAGACTCGGAAAGGCAGATATCAAGAGACCGTATAGTACGAGTCGAATAAAGTAAACATATCTTCAGGTTCTTCTCTCTGATCACGATAACATATGGAGCCGATTGTGAGACGGGATTCGGGCTCCTCTAAAATTAGTGGTTGGTATGGAAAGATGCATCCGTTTCTTCAACACTATGATCAAACAGCTATTCGAATCATCTAAGAATAAGCTTATTGTCTGAATAATTATTGAAATTAAGACCCAGATAGATGAATGCAAACTCCAAACATGGAACACTTTCGTCCCTGTATGAAACGATCAAATCAGTTAGTCTCAGTCTTATTTTTGCAATTTTCGAGCTACAATCTTGCACCATAGTTTTTTTCATGTAGTAGGACTTGTTTTTTGAAATGTTGAAGAAATTGGGACCTCCTGATCCTGTCATGGATAAATCTTTTTATCGGTTTTGAAAGCCAGTATCAAGTCCCGGTTCCAGTTGGATACATGTCCAACCGTTGGTACCAAGCCAATGCTAGTTGCAGTCATAAGACAGGTTCGGCAACACTAAGCGTAGCCCCAGTTGAGCTTATATTGATGATATTACGCGTCATTGAGGCTTTGATATTACATGCATGGATCGGGCGTTTCGCCATGGCAGGCAACGCGCGGGGTGAACCTCGGCAGGTAGTTATCTGTTGCAATGCAGCGAACGCCATGATCGATGCATGTTAATAAAGGTAAACACTCATTCTCGTGTAAGGCCGGGCAGTATAGCCAAACATCTCCTCATTTCAACACAACTCATCTATATCAATATGAAAAACATCTACATCATTGGAGCGCAATCTACAGGCAAGAGCACCCTAGTCAACGCTCTAGAGGGTTGCTTCGAAGAGAGCGGGAACGGGATCAACACCCAGCGTCCGCTAATCATACGCGAGGTGGCGCGGAAAGTTCTGAAAAAGTATAATTTTCAGCGCGAGGACATCGCGACACTACCAAAACGCGCGCTTCAACTCCAGCAAAAAATTCTTGCTGCTCAGTATGATGCCGAAACTACGGCATGCCCTGCGGGTGCATCCACTTGGTACATATGCGATCGATCCGGACTGGACCCTATTGTGTATGCGAAATGCCTTGTTGGAGAGCATGCGGCGGCGGAAATGCTGGCCTCCGAGTCATGGCGAGAGCTCGAAGACCGAATGAAAAAGAGCATCGTAATATTGTGTGAAGCGGGTTGTCAATGGCTAAAAGATGATGGAGTACGGCTAATGCCAAAGGACGAAGTGGAGTGGATGCGCATCGACTCTGCATTTCGTGACCTGCTAAGGATACGCGGCATCGGTTTTTCTGTCATACCCAAGGACATTGCAAATCTTGAGGAGCGTGTAGGGTATGTAATTACAAAGAAATACAGTGAATTCTCGAAAGTGGACGTGATGACGACCCGACGCATCAGTACCTGTGCAAGCCAGAGAGGGTAGCTTTTGCGATTGGCAATAACAGATCTATATACATGATTTTTTTGGAGTATTTAGTTTTGAATCTAGCCCTTTAATCGAAAAGACTGCGCGTAGGCCAGAAACGTCTCTAGAATATTGTCGCGCATTTGACCCCACGAGTCATGGTATAAGGAAGATCTGCCTTCTCTAAACTAGTTACACATCTAATTACTTCTTGTACGACCGGGAAAATGGGATGCTCATCCGCATAAGTGGATTAGCCCGCCAAAACTGGTTATTACTAGTATTATAGAATTTTGTATAACTATCGAAATAGCCTGATCGAATATGCTGGCTTTAGTTGAGCTATATCTGGGTGCATCTGAATCACGACACCACCAATAGAGTTGCAGCCGTGTGAGAAGTAAGCGGCTGGAGAGCATTGCCCGAGGTCCAAAATTTCCAATTATCTGCTATATTTGTAGTGTTCTGATACTAAGACACAACCTCCGCACAAATTGATTTTTGGATAGGAGTGGCTTGTTTGGTAGTAACGTTTGCCATGTCAACTTTAATAGTAGAGCACTATCCTGGCTCGAAAGGCAGTTTGTCAGGCTTTGTGGGAGATGCATAGGTAAGAACATCAGGAATCGAACGAACACTGTAACATATCGAACGATGCGCCGGCTTGTGATCGATTTCTTACAAACCAGCTACTTAAATACGAAAGTCTGAATGTAACACGTGACGCAGGTGTCTTGGGTAAACTCCCTCGGTATCCCATATTGCCCTACAATATGTCGTGTCATATATTCTCAACTAAAGATGCGCAAACTATCTAATTTCCCGGTTTAGATTTGCCCACATATGAGCTGCAAGAATGCTGGGGACTCTTTCTGATACTTTGTGATGTCATCCGCCGTCATCTTCTCAATCGCGAAAGTTCTCTGCTGGCCGATATCTCCAGCAGTAAGAGCTTGCACAACAGGCAAAACAGCCATACTGAGACTGCGAAGCAAAGTGCCCTGACAATTGTCCAGTATTTCGACAAACGCAGCATACTCAGTATCAGTGGGGGTCATTATCCTGTACATTAGTCACTACTATTCCGAGGCTAGTTATCACTTTACTCACATCGCATCGGTGATGCCGACATCGGTCCCACTGAAGCCTCGATCTAGCATGATACCCAGGACGCCTTCACCGAATTTAGTCTCCAGAAGATGTAAGCGTTGGCCAAGTCGTCGCAGGTATGATATCCGCCGATACTTTATTTTGTAATCACTCGTATTGCATTTAACACTTGGGTATGTTTCTTGCATCATCCTTGCTGTCAAGTTGGCGACAGATTTATTGATCGGGTTTCCGCGCCTACGCGGCGAACTTGAGAAATCAGAGGAAGTAAACAGCACTCCAAGAGTGGAGATTTTAGGGCTGGTGCAGTCCTTGTACAGCTCAACGATGTGGTGTCTCCGAAGCAGTTGAAAGTAAGAACTGGTACGATCTAGCTTATCAATCAGACGAATTCTTTCCGCTGTTGAGACTGTGATCTTTGTTTCAAACAGAAGGCAGCTTTCCTGTGTCCTTCGCCATTTGAGGATGTCTTGTAGTCCACCTATCAAGCAGGGACTGCCAATATTTGTCCGGATCTTTTCGAACGATTCTATCTTGCCTTTGCACGACTGCTGAGTCTCTTGCTGTACAACAGGCGTAAGCAAGACGTCTTGCGGAGCTGTCGGCCTAAGAGATTGACATGCTCGTTCTTCTTCACTGGCATGTGTCCCAAATCTGTTGGTACTTGAATCATCATTGGGTTTTTGGAGCTTCCTTCTCTGTTGAAGGTCAGCCTGGTGTACATTGATTCGTTTCTTTGTAGGTTTTCGAGAGTCACATGTAGCATTGATGTTGTCGCATATCATTATTTCCTCTCCATCGATCAATGAAGAGGATACATTTTGTAGGCTTTTACCAGGGGATCCATCGATTGGTATTTCTATATTGATTTCGTCTGCCTGGGAAAATTGGCTTTGCTGAGTTGGTGCGTTCTGCCCATCATCTCCGATTTCTATTGAAACATTTATCTTGGCCGGTGGCTGCTGAAGATTTGACACTGCATGCCGTCTGCTCCAAGAGCATGTCCAGGGAGTCTGGCCACTGCTATCCGCAAACAATGACGAATAGTGACCAGCGTCGATATTGAACAGCGATCGCGCAAGGGAGCTCACATCGACCGATTCCGGAAGTTCATTCAGAGAAAGTAAAGAAGGATCTACAGTTTGGCTAGCGGTATTGAATAGACTGGATAGTATGCAATGTTAGCGCGCTGTAGTAGGGAGGGCTTGTCCAACTGACCCAAGATGAAGCATCGTCCTAGCCACGATACCAATATCTCTTCCAGAATCAAAGAAGACAGCCGCTATAATTGCATTGATCGCTTTCGCATGAACACTTGGTGACTGTGCGCCGTCTCTGTCGGCGAACCTGATGTAGCCGCTGATGCCTGTCCGTCTTGCAATAGACGCACGGTGTTCACTGTTAGCCACACTTTTCTTAAAGTCATTGACGTTAGCTAAGTGAAGGTCAGCCTTATTTCGTGGCACATGCTCTTAGAATCCTACCTCTTGTGGCTTCTGCTTCAAAGGCTAAGTAGTTCAATATGAATTCGCTTAGTGCAGTACCAAACTGCGCCAATTTTCGATTTCCATCCCAATCTTCCTTTAGAACTCCAGCTGCCGTCAGCGCTCTACACAACTGCTCATATCCATGTTGGAAATTGTAACTAATAATATTTTCAACAGCCTGTGCGCTTGAAATTGAAGCCATAGCTATCGGGTTTGTAGGACAATCCTTTCGATAAACAACAGCAACAGAGGAAAGGGAGGAAGTTCGTGTAGTGTATCGCGTAGCCGAGCGAAGCGGAGAGTTTGTGTTGTCTACAGAAGTCTCCAATGCACATTCGTACGATCACATGCGTCATATGGCATGCATTTGGCATCCTAGTGTAATTGCCAAGAATCGGTACCAAGAATCACAAAACTCAAAATGATTTGAGTTCGAAGCTTGTTAGAGCATATTTGGGTATTTCTAATATATAATGTCCATTGACTAATGATACTGTCAATCAAGAAAGCGTGCGCATGGTTGTGAGAAGCAGCTAGCCGGTTAGAGTAAGTGGGGGTTTTGATTGAATGTCTGATGACGTAGGCAAGTTCCTTGTGCAAGGATCTGAGCAATTACGTAAGCTCGGACACCTAGTAATGGCCACACCCAGTAGTGGCCNCCCCAACCACTCCACCAACAACAACTATTTTTGAATTTTGAAGCTGCCCACCACCACCACAACGTGCCTAATATGTCCAATCGCGAAGAATCTATTCAATCTGCTATCCGCGATTATCATAATGGTGTTTTTAAATCACAAAAAGCTGCTGCTGCCGCGTATGGCGTCTCGCGATCAACACTGCGCCATCGTCTCGCTGGGCGAGTACAACGCGTAATAGCTCACCGCCAC